CTGGTCTCTGATTTCCTCTTAATTCTAATCACATTTATACTGAATCAGTAGATTAGGGAACGAGATATACCTAGCTTCTTCTCCTGGAGGACAAAAAGCTGATCAGGTCTTTCTAAGCATTAACAGAAAAGAAATGCAAACAAGTTTTTTAAGACCAGAACATACATCTTAAAAAATTCTTTGAATTTTTCAGGAAGGAATTACTTTATTTGGGATTTCTAATACTGGTTAATAGTCTTAAGTTTTTTTGCCTCTCTTTTACATTTTAACTTTAGTATTAAATATTACTACTTTTAATATTAAATATTTCACGCTGGGCATGGTGGTGCAAACCTGTTTGTTATTTACGTCTTGCTATGGTTGTCCTAGGTTGGCCTCAGACTTCCTGGGCTCAGTGGAATCCTCTGCCTCAGCCTCTTCAGTGGCTCGCTATGACTAAGCACTACACTGCACACGACCCTTCCAGCTAATTAGTTTTTTTTTGTTTATTTTTGCAAATTTACTATCAGTTTTACAAACTATCCAAAGGTACATCCAGTTTTTTCTCTTCTGTTTGTGCATTCCAAATTCTTTTCTATTAGAAAAAATGTTATTTAGGGTAGATATGGTAATGAAATGCTGTAATCCCAACACTTAGGGGAGCAGAGCAGAGGTTTCATGAGCCAAGTCAGCCCTGGCTCATATGAGCCTTTCTGGTCTCAAACCAAACAAAAAACACCAAATGTGTTTATGCAAAATTATTATGGGCGAAAGTAAGAAAATAGTTGAACATATAAACATTTTACTTCAAGAGGGTATCTGTTCCTAACTCTGGAGTTTGGAATAGCTTACGTTAAAATTTATAGCTCAGACAAAGTTCCAGAGACTGAGAACAAAATTTGAATTTTTTCTTGAGACATAATAAACCTGAGCATCAGGAGATGAGCATCTGCATAAGAGGGCTGTGCTCTAGGCAACGCTGCAGGTTGTTAATAATGCTGCGTCAATAATCACCTAATGAGGGAACAGTGCATCATTACACTTCAGATGGTTAGGGAGGTGACAGCTGAACAATAAGAGGGATGGATTGTTTTTTAGTTTATAGATCTGGTGTTTTAAAGACCTCTGTTCATAAGGCAATGGTTTCACTCCTACCTGTGCTAGTTGCTCTAGTCCACATGCAGAACAGAATGGTAATGTAGGCCGGACTTAGCAAATCAGGAAAGCCACGGAAGTTTGGCAATCAACTTATCAGGGTTACTGAAGACCCTATAATGTTACCTTTTATTTTACTTTTCCTTCTTAAAAGGGTTTTGTTCTTAGCAGGACATGGGGTACAATGCTATAATCTTAGCACTCAGGATGTTGAGGTAGGGGTAACTAGCAAGTTCCCCCGGCTGCCTGGGATACATAGTATAGAAACTGTCTAAAAAAAAAAACCCAAACAAATGAAAGAATGTTTTATTTATAATTTTCTTAAAATAAGTTGTCAAGACCAGGCACAGTCTGGGAGGCAGAGATTGAGAGGATGGTGGTTTGAAATCCACTCAATGTCTGGACTCATGGCAAACGCCTGTCATCTTAGCTATCTGGGGAGACAAATAGAGGATAAGGTCTAGGCTGACCCAGGACAAAAATAAGACCCTACATCAAAAATAACACATGTAGAAAAGGATTTGGTAACAGTGTTTCATGGTGGTAGAGTGCCCTGCTAGCAAAAGTAAGGCCCTGATTTCAAAAATAAATAAGTGATATAAGATGGACTTTATATGGCTAGAATTCCGTACTCTCCTTACAGCTAACAAAAAGGATATAGTCTCATCATCATTTTGTATTGGGCATTATTAATATACATAAAAAAGGCATAGGATAATATACCAGAGATTCAGAATATGAGTTATCAATTTTAAAATGCCTTTCAACACCATACTGAAATGAAAACTTTTTGGAAACATATATTTGCCTAATATTACTGTCTTTTACTAATACTGGTGTCAACTCCTATAAGTCCCTATGACCAATGTTGTCTTTCCTGAAAAACAAATTATGTTGTATATGTGTACTCTCATTTCGCTTTTAAAAAGTTTCCGTCTGCCCTGAGTTAATCCCAGTACCAGACAAAGAAAAGAGAAAAAAATTCCTCTTGCCTGAACTCTCCGATGCCCTTGATCCACTAAAGCATGTAACATCTGACTTGGAGTGCTTTCCGTTATTCCAAATAAATGTTCTGTACTTTAAAGCTTTCTCTGGTTGTTTTTTCAGGTTGAACAATGAAAAGTCTTCTAGGAAGGGGAAGATTAATGTGATACTTGGAGAAACAGGCCTTATAAGTAAAGGGGAAAGTACTTACAAAAAGAGTTACAGAGTTAATAATAAGGCACAAAACCGAATAATATTGGGATTGACTCATTCTTTCTTCCGGGTGAGAGGAGGGTTTTGAGGCATTAGCTCCTAGAATGCAACTAAATGTAGAAAAATGAGATGGATCATTGGCCTATGAAATACATCATGTAACCAAGTATCAACATCAATTCTTATTTAAGAGTACTCCAATCTCTCTTGTGAGAAAATGGAAAGTGTTTGTCTCTTGCATTATTTGTCACTGTCCTGTTGCAAAACAAAGAGCTGGTGTTTGGTCTTGTGGTTCTCTGGGAAGTCTAAATCTTGAATCTCTCCTGTGATAGAATGCCTGTCTATTGGTGGTACCACTGCTATTTTCCTAAGGATATGACTCAGGAAGAAGCAGACCATGACAAGTCAGCACCACCCATGTGATTAGATGCCAACCAGAATGGGGCTGAGAATTCAGTTTGAGCTTGGGGCCAGAATTTAATGCATTGTTTATTTAATAAAATCCAATACAAGTTCTGGAAACCGAAAACACGTAACATTCTTGGGGTAACACCCTACAAAACAGTCAACTTTGATGTGGATGCGTAGGGAAGATGGTATCTCTGAGTCGCAGGAGATGAAACGGAAGCTTTACCATTTGGGAACCATCCAGAT